GGCTTAGCAGCTGCGGTGGACTCCGGCGTTGGGAGCGCGGCGCCGAAGGGCAGTTCCTGCTCCCTTCCAGTCCGTTTGATTGGGGGTATTTGGCAGAGCCAGTTCCTCTCGCATGCACTGGGATTGCGTGTTGAACAGGGGGATGGAGCGCCTCTCCTGGGAGGAAAACTGGGAGCTGGGCTTGTTCAGCCTGGGGAAGAGAAAGCTGCGGGGAGACCTTAGAGCAGCTCCAGTGCCTTTTTGATGAATGGGAAAAAATCTGGACTTCTCACAAATTCGGGTTGCTCGTAGAATGTGGTTAGTTCAGTAGGTTGCTAATAGAAATGCTATACATAGTTTTTAAATGGTATGAATTGAAAGATTAGTCATCAGCTGTGTAAAGCTGACACCTGATTGTGTTGTCTTGTTATCTTACTCTTGGATCTTCCTAAATAAACAGGAAGTCCTGAATTTAATAGGAGCACAGAATATTTGGGTTGGAAAGAACCTTAAAGCTCATCTAGTTCCAACCTCCATGCCATGGGTAGGGATACTGTCCACTTGACCAGGGTGCTCAAAGCCTTGTCCAGTTTCTCACAAAAGGGAAAAAAAATTAATCCTCTCCTGCCTGCTTAAAAACTCCTTATAAATCTTTGTCTCCAGAGCTGTGGTTGTTATATCATACTAATACCAAAAAGAAACAAATAGGTGTGTTTTTCCATTGATATTTAACACTACATAATGGACACAGAGTGAAAAAAGTTACTTGAGAGTTTCTTAGCTTAATGTAATTAATGGTCTTAGTCCTTGGAAAGCCAGGATCATCTCTGGATTGAATGCACAGGCTCCTTTGATCTTGAGAGTTGACAGGTGTGGTTAAAGGTGTTTGTCCAGCAGAGAAGTTAACTGCTGTGAAATGGGAAATCTGTCCCCTTATAAAATGAAGTAGAAAAGAGGGGGGAAATCCCTGGGAAATTTAGGAAATGCGTGATGACACTTGCTTTCTTCAGAAGCTGAAACAGTGGTGGAGACCTTACGCATCATTTCCGTGAAAAAAAGGAAGCTGTAAGCATTGAGTGGGAGGTTTGTTCAGACTTTCATTAGAGCAGCATAGCAGGGAAGTGAGTGTCTGATCCCTGGTTTTAGAGAGGAGGAGATGACGTTTATCCTGTCTTACTCCTGAGAGCCCTGAGTGTCCTTGGGCAGGAACTCTTTAGCTCCTTGCTGCCGTACCATTTTTTCACCAGCCAACAAAACGAGTGAACTGAAAAGGACAGTGATCCTCCACACCAAGCAGCAGCTGTGGAGGGAAAATGAGTTTTCTTTTCAGGTCTGCTTTCTTCCAGTCTCATTTCTGGGCTTGAAGAAGAAGCAATCTTGCTCTTGTAACTCCAACCTAACTTTCATGGCTGACTTTTGAGAGCAAAGATACAGAGAGTTTACATGCATCAATACCCACTGAGGCTTAGGAAGTTATTAGTGGTGGGCTGACCAGTGGTGGCTCTCCTTGCTTATATTTTTAGTATCTGGAAAATGGCTGCTTTCTTCCCAGAAGGGAATTGAATTACCTTGCTCTTGTCAACAGCCACTGTGACTTGCTACATTAAGCCACCTCAGCTTGAAGTTAATGAGAGGCAGAGTTTCACAGTTGGTAGAGCAGGGAGTTTTTCTCCATGCTGGGAGCACTATAGGTCCCTGGGCAGTGAGAGAGGTCTTCTTGAGGAAAATGCATTCATAGACATTGTCTTTATGAAACAAATCTCTAACAAGACACCAAGCTTCATCACATCAGAACAGCGTTTCATTTTGCACAGCATCCTGCTGCCTTGTGGTCTCCAAAGACAAATGTTTGGAGGTCCTGGGTTCTGTTCTTTTCTGGAAATTGCTAATTGAGATAAGTGGAAAGAGATGCTCATACTGGAACAGCAGGAACAAGTGGAATGTTTAAATCTATCTGAGCAGGACAGAAGACAAAGGCAGGAGGGTTGTCATGAAAAGATGTGGGAGTGATAGCTGAGCCCTCTCTTTACTTTTCCAGTTCCTGTGCCTGGAAAAGGCTACTGTGTAAGTGCAGGCAAGAAAAGTAGAAACTGTAATGGCATGAGAACAGTACTCACTGCAAGCAGGTTGGATAGTCCATGAGAAGTAAGGCCTGGACTAGCCCTTCTGTGCGTGCAGTTCTCTACCTGAGCACACAGAAGCGTGTTTCCCAGTGCTTCCCATTGCTTGTCTTCATTCTGTGTCTCAGACAGTTTCTGTGGTGTGGCACCAGGCCAAAGAGCAGAATGTTCTAGTATGCTGGCAAGCATTGTTCTTTGCCCATGGGAAGCCTGATCTTAATGACTGGCCTTGCTGACCTTGTGGCTGCTTTCCTATGGGAAGGAGTTAGGATGTGGAGTGAGATGGGCTTATAGTTTGTTTTCTGGACTCATACACAGTGAAGTGACTTGTCCTGGTGCAGTAAAGCTGTAGTATCCGCACTGATTTTATGAACAGTAGTAAGTTTTCATCTGAAGATGGCATGAGAAGGGAGGGAAGCACAGAATGATACAGGATTTGATGAATTCTTGTCTTGATGCCATTTAGGAATAAACCCCCTCTGAAAACACAAAAGCAAAGCAAATGCAAAATAGTAGCTGATACTTGGGAGCAATTGTCTTGAAGAATAAGCTCCTGAATATTTCTTTTTCACTGCGTGCAGTTGCTGTATTTATACTCATGCCCTTCCTTCAACTTAGTAGTGGAGTAGAATCGAGTCCTTACTGCAAGTGTAACTTGAACTTGAAGTCAGTATTGCCATGTTTTTGTCAGTGTCCACATGCATGTCTGCCATGGCAGTAGTCTTGTGACTTTTTTTTTTGTTAGAGCCATTCAGAAGTAGGAGAAGTAGGAGGTGATTGCTGAAGACCAGAGGAGGGACACAGAGATGTTAATGGTTTACAGTATCCCTTCCCCACAGCAGAATGTATCATCTGTTAGATGAGTAGATTTTTTAGCACATGTAGCTGCTCTTAATAAAGACTAGGAAAAATCTCTTCTCGTTCTTCTTTTCTCTTGTTTTTTTATTTATATTGGATGTCTAGGCCTTCTGAGCAGAATACAATTGATTCAAAACTTATAGCAGTAAAAGTTTCTGGACAGCCCCCTTCTGTTGCTTGGGAAGTTATTTAACATAAACTTGATGAAGTGAGGTTTCCAAGGAAGTCCCTGTTATCCCCATGGTTTCAGAGCAGATGCTTTGAACAGAGTAGCAACTTTGTATGGGAAGTGTGCTTTTTTACTAACTCTGTGGATACTCATGCTGGGAAAATTGCAGTTTATTTGCTCAGCAGGATCTTCAGTCTGGGCATTCTGCAACAGGATGCTGAGATAGATTTTGCTGGTGACAACAACTCTTAAATTTCATCTTCTCTATCAGAGGAGATGAAAGGAAGCCTAATTCAAGTGAATAGAGGGGAAAATACTGAGGATAGAGGAGCTTAGGATAGGGAAGAAGGTTCAAACTGTGATTCTACCTGGGACCATTATGTGGAAACTGGATCCCTTTGAGGTGCCTGTCACATGATTGTACAGAAAGGCTGGGTTTGGGTAATTCTTAACTGACACATGCCTCCTTTATCAACATTGTGATGTGCTTCTAACCTAAATTTGAGCGTATCTGGTAGTGCATACAGTATTAGTTAAGCAATAGTGTATAAAACAATTGTTAAAGTAACTTTTTTCTCTTTTTTTTCCCCCTGTAACAGACATCTGCTGCCAGGGCCTGTTTGGCGTTGTGGGAGAAAACTTTACTTTTCCAGTAAATATAGGGAAAAAAACCAGAGGAAATAATTTGGACAAAAAACAAGGATAAAGTGGCTGAATGGGAAGGGCAAAACACGACGTATTTTACTCCTTTCCATAACAGAGGCTTCCTGAATGAGGAGAATGGCTGCTTGACTATATTTAACTTGCAGAACAGTGATGCTGGCATATACGTATTAGAGTACTTGGGTACTCAGAAAGAAAGTTCTTTCTTAACCTTCACGCTTACTGTCCTACGTAAGTAGTGGAAGAACTGCGTAAAGAACTTGCACCACTTTATTCACCCTCAGAAGGCTATAAGGAGGGTTGTTTATTTGCCAGGGAAGCAAATGGAAACAGAGGGAGGCTGTTCTTTTGGCTCTATTAAGTTGCTTAGGCACTTTAAACAGATTTCCAAAGGTGGAATCTAATTTGTGTGCCTGTCATTGGTCACCTTGGAATGACTCCTAGAATGGGTGTAGATGGCACACTCTGTACGTTCAGGTATATAACCAAACTCTTTGATCAAGCTGAGCCAAGTTATCCCAGGCATTAGGTGTCTACTAAAGATGTTCCTGGAGGCGTACTATACATGGTTAGATATCTGTGGTATTATCCTGTGGAGATCTACACAGCTTTACTAGTAGTCTTTAGGAAATATATTTGACCAGTGTGTGTATTAATCCTCTTGACAATGAACCATGAGGAGTCTCAAACTAGGCACAGAAGAACCACAAACAGGGCTGCTTTTAGAAATAGATTTCTCACGCATGTGCATGTGCACACACACACCTTGCACATACATTTTTGTCTATGCACCCTCCTGTTGCTTTTGTTGTCTGTGATAAAATTTAAGGCAGTTTATAACCAAAATAATATATAATGGTTTTTGTTTTGGTTTTTTTTCCCTCTTTCTAGCTCCCCCTTCAAAACCTGAAACAAGTTGCCATGTCAGGGGGGATAGCTTTGCGTTGAAATGTACAGCAGATTTCCCAAAGCCTCTGAATTACACATGGAAGTTGAATGGCATACTGCAAACCGTTCATCACATCCCAGAAGTTTTCATCCCTAAGAAGGATGTTGGTGCTTCCGCGAAAGCTACGTGCTTCGTTAAATTCTCTCAAACGGAAAAGAGCTCTGAAATCTCTTTGACTCAATGCTTGTCAGACACAAAAGGTAATGAATGGGTCAGGTTTTATATATAAGTCTGAGAGGCTGGGTTGGGAAGCAGCATGGACTTTGTAAGATTCCTACTGATGCTTTTTAGTCTTTAAATTCATCTTCCTGAGCAGTCAGAAGTTATTAGTCTGCTAGAAGTGGGGTTAAGGTTGGTGAAAGGTATGAGGTTGACAGTTTGATCCCCCCCCAAAAGATACTTTTTGCAGGGACCGCGATAGAATAAAACCTTCAGCTGTGACTTGAAATGAATGATAATAAAGAGGGGGACACACTTAGACTATCTCTTCTGAAACTTCTGGTCTTGCATAATCAATGCTAATGACTATCGTGTTGTATTGCTTTCCATGAATTGCAGTGAAACTCTTCAGTCATTTCAGGTGAGTCATCTAACAGCCATTAGGTAAAATAATTTCTCATAGAAGATTATAAATGCACAAAGCATGGACATGAGTCAGCATAATTCTTTTCTTCCTTCACAAACAGATATAAAAAAGGAGAAAAGTTTTTCCGTGGCAGCTTATTTCTTTGGGACAGCCTCAGCTTGCTCTTTTTTAAGGCAGTCCCTAGCTGACAAGATCTCCCACTTCGATGCAGAAGTAATTTTTATGGCTTACCAATGTAGAATTCTTCCTTCTTCACTGGAAGTATGTGTTGGACTTGTTAGAATTGAGGCATGTGATGGGTTAAGCTTGGCTGGCTGGCAGGTGCTCTTCAAGCTGATCTATCACTCCCCCTCCTCAGTGGGATAGGGGGAAGAAAATATGATAAAAGCCTGTTGGATTGAGATAAGGAGAGGGAGATCACTCAGCAGTTACCATCATGGGCAAAACAGACTTGATTCGGGGAAAATGATTCTGTTTTGATAAATTAAATTAATGAGAAACAGGAACAAATCTAAAACATCTTGCTCCCCATCCCACCTCTTTACAGGCTTAACTTCACTCCCAATTTCTCTACCTCCTTTCCTCAGCAACGCATGGGAATGGGGGCTTTGGTCAGCTCATTGTGTGTTGTCTCTGCCACTCCTTCCACCCCACACTCTTCTCCTGCTCCAGCATGGGGTCCCTCCCATGGAAGTCAGTCCTCCATGAACTTCTCCAACTTGGATCCTTCCTGTAGGCTACAGTTCTTCATGAACTGCTCCAGCATGGGTTCCTTCCATGGAGTGCATCCTTCAGGAACAGGCTCCTCCAGCATGGGTCCCTTCCACGGGGTCATAGCTCCTGCCAGCACACCTGCTCCAGTGTGGGCTCCTCTTTCCACAGGGCCACAGGTCCTGCCAGGAGCTGCTCCAGCGCGGGCTTCTCACAGGTCACAACCTCCTTTGAGCATCCCTCTTCTCTGGTGTGGGGTTCCTCCATGGGCTGCAGGGGGATATCTGTTCCACCATAGACCTCCATGCGTTGCTGGTGGATATCTGCTCCACCATGGACCTCCATGGGCTGCAGGGGAGTCTTTGCTCTAGTACCTGGAGCACCTTCTCTCCTTCCTCCTCCTTCACTGATCTTGGTGTCTGCAAGGCTGTTTGTCTTGCACGTTCTCACTCCTCTCTGTCTGCTGTTGCATGTCCCTTTTTACCCTTTCTTAAACAGCTTATTGCAGAAGTGCTACCACTGTCACTGATGGGCTTGGCCTTAGCCACTGATGGGTCCATCTTGGAGCCAGCTGACATTGGCTCTGTCTGACATGGGGGCAGCTTCTGGCATCTTCTTACGGAAGCCACCCCTGAAGCCTCCCTGCTACCAAAACCTTGCCACACAAACCCAGTAGAAGATATTTGATGAAATTTCGTTTGGCTGATTTCTGGCTCAGCCTTTCATAGGCCAAAAAATGGGATGGCCATCACCTTTCAAGTGGTGATGTGCCTTCATGGTACTAGGGAACTTACCAGCTAACTTTCCTAGAGCTGGTGTAGATTTTGCTAATAACTGACTCTGGTACATTAATTTCTTGAGGTTACTTTTTAAAAACCAAATACCTATAAACATACTCAGGGTTGTATTTATTCTGAAGTAATGTAGCACACAGTTACTTTCTAACTGACCAGTCCTTATTTTGTTTGTTTAAAGGAGACAGCCATCATGAATTGAGTAGAGCTGGTCTTATTGCAGCTTTCATTATTTGTGTGACACTTGGAGTAATAGTAGTATTTCTATACAAAAGAGGTATGTATAGTACTTCGTAATGGAGCTCAAGATGCTTCAAGATTGCTGAACTAAGTTTCTGTAGAATGTTAGGAAGTTTCTGACTGGGATTTATTGTAAACACAGCAGAAGTAACCAGTGCAACTTAGGCAAGGGCAGTAGGTTTGAAAGAAGTAATATACTGAACTTTTTTGTATTCAGACACTGGGTTCTGTGTACTGGGAAATGTTGTAGTTTGGATTTGCGTATTTCTTCTTCAGACGAGGTGTTTTGCTCTGTGATTCTATTTACTAAGTATTTATGGCCTCTCCCATTCCTACACGAGTGTGCTTTCACTGCCTTCTTTGAGAGCATCATAAAGCTTGCCCTTAGGATCTATTTATTACTGTGACAGGCTTATACCAAGGCCTCTTGAATACCTTGTGCTGAGTCTGATCCAACAACTTGCTATGCTCAACTTCCATCCATGAGACAGGAAGCTACTAGTTGGAATAGTTAGAGCATAGTGCTATATCTCAAAGACTTTGGTCTGCATGATAGCCAGGTGGTGGAGACAGAAATAATTTCCCCAGCCTAGCAGATTCAGTGGCAGCATGAAGTGAAATCAGCTGCCATCACTAATTGTGAATCCCTTGATTCCCAGGGGGCATAGTTGTAGTGCAGATTGATCTGCTTGGAAAGAATTTCACTGGAGTTGTGTAAGATTTTTCAGATGTAAAACTGTAGGTAAATATGTAATAAAACTTTCTCATTGCTGGTATATCTGCAAAGCTTATGTAGATTAGGTGATACTGAGAACTGTTGCTGAACTTTGAATCCATCTAATGATGGCAATCAACTTTTCTATGTTTGAGAGGCTTGCTGTAGTTTACCATAGCTCAAGCATGCTTTACTCTGGTTCTAGGGAGCTCTGTCATTCCTGTAGATGGATGAAAATTGTTCCACAGAGACTATAATTTGTAAGATGACTTGAGCCAATCTAGCCACTTACTATCACTAAAAGTGGAGGTCTTGCTCTTTGGAACAGCTTTAATGTTCATCACACCCCTCTGAGCCAGTTAAACTAACTCAAGTAGCAGGAAACTGACCCAGCAGAAAAATCTGGGTGGTTTTCTGTGAGGCTAATAGGTTAAATCAGATCATGAAGGGCTTTGAAGAGCACTGGGCTGACATACTGGAGGGGTGGGATGCTGGTCAGTGATGGAATCAAAGGTAGAAGGAAAAGCAGAAGGCAGGAAGGGCTGAGGGGGTGAGGGAGGCTGTTGCAAGGATAGCAGGACAGGCTGAGATGTGCCTATGAAATGTGTTGCATGAAGCTGTTACTTTCTCACACTGTAAAGATTTGCTGCACTTTGAGCATGCTGACTTCCGAGAGCTGAAGCCTTTGGCAGTACTGGCTGCTCTACATAGAGCATAGCTAGTTTAAAAGTGCTTGACAAATCGAACATCTGTGAAGAATTAAAATTTTGGAGGGATGTGAAATTAGGTTAGCTATAGCAAATAAACTTGGTGAGGGAAGAAAGGAATGGATGGAAGAAATGGTTTTGTTGTTTGTAAAATGAAAGGGGTGCCCTCATCACAGTCTACACGAAGTCTTGCTCAAAGGGGGCGGTGAGGGGGAAGTGTTGATCTCCTCTCTCTGGTGACCAGCAGTCATCTACAAATGTGAGAAAACATGGATGAGTGGAAGGGTGGGAGTGGGTAAGGACTGATTATAAGAAACCTGACTGTGATGCAGATGAATCTGCCAATGAAACTGTCATGAAATAAGGAAACAGACCTAAAACAGGGCTGTAGAGCTGGAAAGAAGGCTGTGGTATCCAAGTCAAATCCTGTTAGTTGCCAGTGGGTAGTACTGAAGATCAAATGATGTAAGTCACCAAATTATTCCTGGCCTATGTGATGTGCTGCTTTGCACAGACACACACTTGGCCAAACTGTGCTCCTACGTCACACTTAGGTTTAGCATCTGAAATGGTTATATTATGTAATGTCAAGACATCACATGTAACTGTGCTTTCTCTGCTGCTGTTTGCAAGCTCTGTGGGGACAGAACATTTTGCATGTTCTGTAGGGAGTGTGAAACCTGATGCTTATTGCCACAGTCATAAAATGAAGAGGGTGCTAATTTCATATTCAGGCCCTCACTGCATAGACACAAAAAAATAGCAACTTCCCCCCAGGCTGGCTGCTTGATCACATTCTTCAATCCTGCCATCAAGCTGGTATCAGTCACCCACAGGTAAAGCAGTAAATCTGCTTGGATTTTAAAGATACAAATCATAAAAAATACCTCAGGCCTATACAGGAATCATGTGAGAACCAGACTAGGGACATAATTATTTTTCTTATTGTCTACAGAGATGAGTATCGTGTGTCACCATATGCTGCTCTCCTAGACTGCCTGCTGGCATCTTATCCTAGATTGGAGTGATGTTCAGCTAGAGACTAGCTTTATTTGCAGTCCTTAAAAGAGAAAGCTCAAAAAGCACCTGGCATTACTGTGTGGAAGAAATAACAGCATCACATGCATGTGTGGTGGTGCACAGCTGGTACTAAGACTGTACCTGAACCTTTGCATAAAAGCAGTGTTTTAAATGCCTAGTGAAGTGATCCAAAGTCATGGAGTCAGGACAGCCTCACATGTTACCAGCTGCTTAGCAGGTGGCTGGCACTTAATGAATAAATGTTCTTAATGTGCTCCAGTTGCAGGGAAATGTGTCTAACCAAATACAGATAATTTGGGTAAAATGGCTAGTAGCTGTCAGATACATGGGTCACTTACCTGCTGTAATTGGGTTGCTTTGGATCATGTGATAGTGTCTTAATTCATTTTACACTTTATTACTGTTTAAAGCCTGCAGTATTCATGTATAAGTAGTTCAGTTTCCAGAGGAGAAGACGTAATAATTTACCTGTGTGCTTTTCTTTTGCTTAAGCTCTTAATTCATAAGCAAGTAATTGCTTTGTGGAACAAAGAAGAATGGAAGAGAAGCTGTAGAATTCAACAGTGAAAGAGGTGCCACCTTTTCTCTTAGAGGTTTTCCAGCAAGCACTGAAGTCATCCATAAAGTGGATTCTTTGAAGACCAGCTGAACTGTTTCCAGTGTCTGCTCTTCTTTTCTTAGAAGGGACAGTGACACTAACACAAAATGTAAGAGCTAGTCTTTTTTATCATATTTAGAAACTAACAAAGACATGTCCACTTGCATGAATGTAGATAAATCAAAAACTAATTAGCTTTCTATACAATGTTGGGTCAATACTTGTTTACAGGCAGAAAAAAGGCAGTTGATCTTTCAGCAAACCCAGATGCCTTTTCTTGTCTCTGTTTTGTTTTGTTTTTTTTTCTTGTTTTGTTTTGGCTTTTTTTTTGTTTGGTTTTTTTTTTTAGAACTTTTGATATTTTTTGCACTTTTAAGGTTCTTTTTTTGTCTTACCTTCTGCTTCACAGTATTCTAAAAGAATGTCAATCTACCTATTGCTGTACAGAGTTTTTAGACTGCTTGTGACTGGAAAGAAAACTCGAAAGCTGAAGTCATACATACACTGAAGCTCAAAAAGAATCAAAGAGAAAAGAATACCGTGTTAATACAGCCCATGATGCTGTTGGCTGCTTTTGCTGCAAGGATAGACTGCTGGCTCATGTTTGGCCAGATGCCAGAGAGGGACTCTTCATCAGGGACTGTAGTGATAGGACAAGTGGTGATGGGTTCAAACTGAAACAGGGGAAGCTCAGGTTAGATATAAGGAAGAAGTTCTTTACTGTGAGGGTGGTGAGACACTAGAAGAGCTTGCTCAAAGAAGTGGTAAATGGTCCATTCCTGGTAGTGTTCAAGGCCAGGTTGGACAGAGCCTTGGGCAACATGGTCTAGTGTGAGGTGTCCTTGCCTATGGAAGGGGGATTGGAACTGGGTATATATTGCACATGTGTATAATGTATAATATAGAATCATAGAATGGTTAGGGTTGAATCATCCAGTTCCAACCCTTGCCATGGGCAGGGACACCTCACACTAGACTAGGTTGCTCCAAGCCCCATCCAACTTGGCCTTGAATACTGCCAGGGATGGAGCTATATTTATTAAATAAGCTAAAAAAACCCTGTCTTATCTTACTTAACGTTTAAATTTAGTAAATGATCCCCAAACCTAATCATTAACTTGAAGTGATTTATTTATTTGTATAATTAAGTCACAACTCTTTTTCCACTGCACCTTCAACGGATTTATCAGGATGATGCTGTCTACTTCTTTGTAAGAAGTTTCCACACAAAGATGTCCTTTGTCATGTGTATTGTAAGGTAAACCTGTACCTTGTTTTATTGCTTGGACAAAGGCTTGCTTTCTGTTATTACTACGAGAAATGATGGTGAAAAAAATGGTTGTTTGGAGGAATTGACTAAAACTGCTCCCAAAAACTACCAGTTCATCTAGTACACATCATTCTTCCTGTGTAATTGAAAACTAAAAGGCATGCAGAAGTCTTACACAGGGTGTGGTTTTGAAAATTCCTTGACACTTGATATCATTGACTTTGTTTCCAAATCAAAAAGCAACAGCTTTCAAAAATAGTAAGTGATTTGGGTTATTTAATCACCATTGCTGGAAATCTTTTATCATAATTCATGGAATTTTGGAGCTTTAGCCAAAGTAGAAAAGCCCAGGTTGACATAAGGCAAAAAACTACAGGCTCTACAGTGTCTCACTGCATGCTTTCACCCACTCCCTTTGCACAGTGTCCTGGTTTCAGCTGTAACAGGTGTCTCCTTCCTAGTAAGTGGTACAGTGCTGTGTTTCCGCTTAGTCTGTGAATAATGCTGATAGCAACAACTAAAACATCAGTGTGTTCAGTAATGTTTACCCCTCCTCCACTGAGGAGGGGCACAAGAAGCTGGGAGGAAGCAGAGACAGGACACCTGACCCAAACTAGCCAAAGGGGTATTCCATAGCACAGCACGTCATGCCCAGTATAGAAATAGGGAGAGTCACCTGGAAGGGACAATCACAGCTTGGGTTGGG